ATGCGATATGAATACTTGCTGTTTGCACTCCAAATAAAAGTCTTATATTGCGTTTAACCAGAGAGAAGAATGAGAGCGGCCACCGGCCGTATTTCGGGGGATACGGCTAGGCGCATTTTAGATGCGCCATCTGACCAAAATGCGCCTAAACTACGTCCGCTAGGCGCACTTTCACGGTGATAAAAGTAAAATGCGCCTAGGTTCGTGTCCGTACTACTTCCATGCAATGGATAGTAGATTAGAAAAAGACAGACGACAGACAATCGTTCCGTCTTTGTCTCACTACTGAGCGGCGCGCAGCAGTAAACACGAGGCGAAGTAGCGGCGATCTTATCGCTAAGCGAACATCTCTCCGCTTTTCTTTCATCTTTCACGCTCCAGAGACATCAAAAGACGCGGTAGCGTCTCGTGTCAAGGGAACGTGCGAAGCGAGGAATTATTTTTCAGGCACGCGAGGTAGCACATGGGAGACTAGACGAGCATCGACATATTATCTGTTTCTTTCCCGCTCGTCTAACTTATTGACTGCGTGAGCCGCGAGATTTTTCTCGCTACTCCTGTACCTCGCTCTTTCTCTCTCTCTCTCTCGCTCGTTCTTTCTCTCTCTCGCGCACTTGCTCGCTCTTCCTTTCTTCTCGTGTTTTTACGGCTTGATTAAATATATTAATTACATGAGAATATATATATATGTGTATATATATAAATAAATGACACATATATAGTGTATATGTATATAAAGAATATTTAGTATTAATGCACAAATAAAGAAGAGAGAATTATAATGAGAGACGAAAAGTTAATAGAAATCCACTCTTAGCCAATATATACATCTTTTAAAAATGATTTGTTATTAAAGTATATGACAGAATAATTTATTTATGCTAATAAATTTAAATTAAAAATTAAATGAAATGTTATTTGTTTTGTAAAAGATATTCCATTGTTACATTTTTCTTTTCGTAGCAAAAATAAATTTAGTCTAGTAAAAGAAGAAATTAGTTTTATTATCATATTTCAATTATTATTATTTACTTTTATTTAATTTTATTTTATTATTTAATTTTACGAATAGATAACGTGCATATTGTTGCTCAACAGAAACCGCGAGAAAATGGTGATCTCCGTCAAAAAATAAATGCAAACTTTTTAATAATATAATAATTTTTTTACGTAAGTGTTTGTTTTTATAGTATAACCTGTTGAATTTTATTAATTATTAATTCAGCATGTTATAGTATAAAAAATATATTTTAATATAAAAATTAATGTAATATTAATTGTTTGCATTTTCAAGAAATATGGATAGAACAGGATAGGTTGCAATGATACATAGGAAGAAAAAAGATAGATGGATAAATAGATAGAAAGATAGATAGATAGATATAGAGATAGACAGATAGATGGATAAATAGATAGACAGATAGATGGATAGATAGATAAATAGATAGATGGATAGATAGATATAGAGAAATAGATAGATAGTTAGATAGTATAGAAAAAAAGATAAATAGAAATATAATTATCATTATTATTATTATTAATGTTTTCAGTTTCAAGAGAACATTCGCTTAAACGTAAGTCTTACTTAGGTCCAGTTACGAGTGTTAACACTCGTAAAGTCAGCCGAATTTTAAACATCTCGTAGAAACAAGTGCTTCAACTCATCAATATAAATGTAGAGGAAAGTAACCGAAACAGCCAAAAACCTCCTACAGAAAGGAAGACATTTGAGCATAAATTCATATTCAGTAGCTTCGAGACATTAAGTCAATTAGACATTCCATGTTAATGTCAGTTGCATATTAAATAATAATCATTCATTGTTAATCTCTTTTCTGCTTCGCATTTATTTTCGAGCTTTTTGCATTATGTTTCAAATCAGCATGTTAATCTTTAACTTGTGAAAGGAATTGTTCAATTAACAATTGAAACTTAGAGAATGTAATGAAAGGCCATATATCATTGATAATTGACATGAGCAATTTCAATCGGTTCAATCGAAGAGCGTTCCGTTGTGTAGGTTACAATTGGTTATATAGATAATATTTATAATCGTAACATCGTGAAAGATGCCGATGATTGAAAAACGCTAAGATTTAGTTTCATAATTTATTTTAACCGGAGTTTAAGACTTATTGAGACAAACTTGCATAGTCATATTGTTCATATGCATAACTGAAGTAGAACAAATAATTATATAAAAGTGAAGATGATGTCAAAATTAAGTTAAAATAATTTTGACGTTATCTTGACCTTTGATGATTATTTGTTCTAGAGAAGGAAACAGATTAATTAAATGTAAAATATGTCTAATATAAAAGGCTCGCTTGTACGGATTATGATTGGTTGATTTCCTAGTGCATATCAATGATGCGAGTATGTAATTTTGTTGAGATAGGCTTTTAAAGAGTTGTCTTATTGAACCCGACAAAAAATACGTATATTTCGTTAATTTTTTTTGCGGAAGCGAAAAAGATCACATGATTAAAAGATTACGGGTTTTGAGAGTTTGCTTAATGATGTTTAAAGAATATATATACATTTTTCTACAAGTATGTAAGTTTAAAAATATATAAAATATTGCAGTAAAAGCAAAGAGGTTGCAAATAGACGATTCCAAGGAATTTCTAAATGTGTGTGATTTAATTTTACACAATTATTTAAAGTAGCTTTTTATTTTCTATAAGTATAGCTATCGTCTGAACTACAATCGGAACACAAATAATAAAATGGTAGCATTTAGAACAAAAATCGTCTATTTCTGGCCTCTCGGTAAAGTTTAATAAAAAATATTAATTATTAATGAATTTGGTTAATTGTAGTTAAAACGGTAAAGAGAAGTCTATTTTATAATGCTGCCAAGTTGCAAGTCGATTAGTCAAATAGTTATTGAGATATCGTGCGCACCGTGGAACTTCCTTGCTTTCACTGCAATATTTTTCATATTTTTAATCTTATATGTAGAAATTTATATACATTCTTTACAAACATCACATTAAACAAACGCTCAAAACAAAAATCCTGTAATCTTAAAGAAACAGGATATTAATCTAAAAAATAGAAACGATCAGAAATAACCGCTCGGTACTTCTAATATTAACGAATTATATTCCGGTTAAAATAATATAAATCGTATAATATATTCCGGTTAATATAATATAAGTCGTATAATATATTCCGGTTAATATAAGTCGTGAAACTGGACCTAAGTAAGACTTACGTTTAAGCGAATGTTCTCTTGAAACTGAAAACATTAATAATAATAATAATGATAATTATATTTCTATTTATCTTTTTTTCTATACTATCTAACTATCTATCTATTTCTCTATATCTATCTATCCATCTATCTATTTATCTATCTATCCATCTATCTGTCTATCTATTTATCCATCTATCTGTCTATCTCTATATCTATCTATCTATCTTTCTATCTATTTATCCATCTATCTTTTTTCTTCCTATGTATCATTGCAACCTATCCTGTTCTATCCATATTTCTTGAAAATGCAAACAATTAATATTACATTAATTTTTATATTAAAATATATTTTTTATACTATAACATGCTGAATTAATAATTAATAAAATTCAACAGGTTATACTATAAAAACAAACACTTACGTAAAAAAATTATTATATTATTAAAAAGTTTGCATTTATTTTTTGACGGAGATCACCATTTTCTCGCGGTTTCTGTTGAGCAACAATATGCACGTTATCTATTCGTAAAATTAAATAATAAAATAAAATTAAATAAAAGTAAATAATAATAATTGAAATATGATAATAAAACTAATTTCTTCTTTTACTAGACTAAATTTATTTTTGCTACGAAAAGAAAAATGTAACAATGGAATATCTTTTACAAAACAAATAACATTTCATTTAATTTTTAATTTAAATTTATTAGCATAAATAAATTATTCTGTCACATACTTTAATAACAAATCATTTTTAAAAGATGTATATATTGGCTAAGAGTGGATTTCTATTAACTTTTCGTCTCTCATTATAATTCTCTCTTCTTTATTTGTGCATTAATACTAAATATTCTTTATATACATATACACTATATATGTGTCATTTATTTATATATATACACATATATATATATTCTCATGTAATTAATATATTTAATCAAGCCGTAAAAACACGAGAAGAGAGGAAGAGCGAGCAAGTGCGCGAGAGAGAGAAAGAACGAGCGAGAGAGAGAGAGAGAAAGAGCGAGGTATAGGAGTAGCGAGAAAAATCTCGCGGCTCACGCAGTCAATAAGTTAGACGAGCAGGAAAGAAACAAATAATATGTCGATGCTCGTCTAGTCTCCCATGTGCTACCTCGCGTGCCTGAAAAATAATTCCTCGCTTCGCACGTTCCCTTGACACGAGACGCTACCGCGTCTTTTGATGTCTCTGGAGCGTGAAAGATGAAAGAAAAGCGGAGAGATGTTCGCTTAGCGATAAGATCGCCGCTACCTCGCCTCGTGTTTACTGCCGCGCGCCGCTCAGTAGTGAGACAAAGACGGAACGATTGTCTGTCGTCTGTCTTTTTCTAATCTACTATCCATTGCATGGAAGTAGTACGGACACGACCTAGGCGCATTTTACTTTTATCACCGTGAAAGTGCGCCTAGCGGACGTAGTTTAGGCGCATTTTGGTCAGACGGCATATCTAAAATGCGCCTAGCCGTATCCCCCGAAATACGGCTGGTGGCCGCTCTCATTCTTCTCTCTGCTATCGTTAAAGCTAAGACTCCATGCATGCGGTGAGCTGCGGCAAATGCTGCGATGACCAATCAGGAGGGAGGCGCAAGTCCGGTTGCGGCAAGCTCCGGCATGCGTCTGTCTCCTGATTGGTCACCGCAGCCGTTTGCCGGAGCTTACCGCATGCATGGAGTCTTAGCTTAAGTCCAATAACGAGTTACAGAATCGCACCACAGTGCAGTTATAAAGAACAGACCGACTAACGCCGAATGTTGGTTGCCATGTTTGGTTAGTTACCAAGTTCGTTTTATTTACTTTTTCCATTGAAACCTATGAATTTTGAAGTTTCACAGGAAGAATTAGTATTATAAAATAAGACATTATGGAGCTTAAAACTAAACAAATGAGAAGAATATTGGAATCTCTGCAGAAACAGGTAAGCTAAGCTTGTTTCTCATGACAAATTTAATATAATATTTTTGTCATACAAAATCAATTTGAAGTAAAAGTATCAATATATTATATATTACATTACATTATAGCTATTGCAAATTGTAATGACTTATAGAGATTATTAAAAAAAAATTACTCGTTATTAAATATTATAGTTATTTTCATTTCAGATAAGTGGGTTGCAATTATTGTTGACTAATGTCTCTACTAATCCATCAGAGGTTTTAGTTGCAAAATTAGTGTTCTCTGGGCAACTGCAATCTTTAACTCAGAGATTTAAGAATTTGACAAGTGATGATAATAGTGAATGTGAAGAAATCAATATAAATGTTGCTGATACAATGACAACCACAAAACATATTTTTCTACTGAATGATATCGAAGAGCTTGTACGTAGCAAGAAAGTCAATATCATATTCATATGTCATATATTATTTGAAGTAAGCTTCTTCCTTTTATTTCTTTTCTTTTTTTTTAGATCAAACAAATTGATGATTGTAAACTTGATGAACATGCTATTAACTATACAACAGAATCACTGCTCAATAAATTTGCATTAGCTTTGAGAGCTCTTGAAGATGTAGAATGCTTATCATTGAAGCAAAGACTCCAGGATTGTTTGGACTATGTTAAAGAAATGAGCACAGCAAATCAGATAGAGGATTTTCAAAATATAAAGGTGATATTTGAAATGAGATTAATATCTTAAGTTTTGTCTTTCAATCCAAACGTTAATTTTCTCTTATAGGAACTTGGCACTTCAATATTGGAGCTACTTGAACCATTACAAAAATATAGGAGAAGTTTAGTATCTACTACTCTGTCAGAAAAGCTAGCTCTATACACTTCTCAACTATGCACTTCATTCGGTATGCTGGTACAACTAGCTCAGGCGCAACATTGTGTGAATGCTCCAATTTATGTAAGAGATTATATTTTTAATCCAAATTATTAGTTAACCAATAAAAAAACAATATGAGAAGAAGTTTGCATAAAAGATAAGATTTCAAATTTCAGCTAGAAAATATAAAATAGTTCAAATTGAAAGATAATTAGAATTAAAAGGATTAAAATTAAATAAAATTAGAAGAATTTTAATTAAAGTTAAAAGAAATAAAATTAAAAGAATTAAATTTAATTCCATTTACTGCACGAATGTGTATAGGTTTGTAAGAAATACATTTGCGAAAGAACATGTACTTGTTGCAAAATGATCTTAGAGCTGCTTGATGGTACAAATCCATCAATGGAAGAGGAAGCTCTCGTGGGGGAGAATCACTTTGTCTACAGGTGAGGAAACAATTTTTGCGCACATATTCTCAATATATGCATCTGACACTATGATACACTTTGTAGAATGGATTTAGCCCTAGATATTATACTAGAAATACCAAGCAAAACACACCAGGAGCAACTGTCCGAGTGCGTGGAACTGTGGCTGAGACTAGAAGATGTTTTCTCTCACGCCATGGCGATTACACAAGTGTGTCAGGCATATAATTTTAAAGCCATAACTGGATCGTGCCAATCCATAGTGCAGGAATATGAAAAGCTAAAACAACAGTTACAATCGGATATACCGGACGCGGCGTTGAATACGTTGTTTATGAATACCTTAACTGATGCTCTTTATCGTTTGGAACGTAAAGTCAATGTAGCAGTATTGACTCTCGTGATGGAGGTTTTCAGCAATCCTTACGCCGTCTTAAGAAAGCTCGTTATGACTTGCGGAAGTTCGTTGAACGCGAAAGGAAGGTCCAAGAATGATCTGAACAATCTCATAGAAGATTTCGACCAACTCTTTGATCAGACTGTGCAAATCGGAATGTTTGCTATCGCCTGTTGCAAAGACATGAGTCGTTAGTCACTTTTATATTTTTTAAACGAGGATCTTAGCGACCTTTTCGCAATAATCAAAAGTGTCTAACATAATTGCGGTTGTTTCAGGTAACAATAAGATTCGCAATTGCCTCGCGGGATTCGAATCCTTGGAAACTGAATTAATATCCGCCATCATTTCTTTCTATTTACACCCGGACAACAAAGAAATGCGCTCCAGCGTCAAGCTGCTGACCACGCAGTGGCAGCTGGAGATGAACAAGTTTCAGAGCGTCGTGAATCTTATTATAAACTCAGCTGCCTTCTGCCAGGTAGATACATTATCGAGGAATCGAGAGTTACTTTGAGAGCGCTATTTGAGTATGTCGTTTATCCAGGTAGTTTTGGACAGTCTTCAAGAATATGTGACGACGATGTCGGATTGTCTGGATAACAGACAACCAGTGACTCAACTCCAGGTGCACGCTATCATTCGGCGCGCCTCAGCTTTGTTCACCCAAGTGACTGCGGTCATGAATGACATTGGCATCGAGAATATCGATCGCCAGACGATACTAATGACAAAAGAATTAAATGCGGGTATAAATATGTTGTGCTTGTTGACACCGATTATTTGATTATTTAACGTGATTATTGTTACGTGATCATATGATCATTGATTGTTTATTTATTGAACAGCTATATTCGAAGTCAACACAGCAGCTGAGACTCTTTTGGTGAAAAACGCGACAGAACCGCAACAGTTGCGCGTGATAAAACGCTGTGAATTAATCTTGAAAGTCATTCAAAGGCTGCAGCCCGCGTTATCCATGATCATGAACAACACGACGCATGAGAAATCGAGGAGAAGCCAGGGAAACCTCAGCCATGGCACAACAACAACAAGTATAACAGTCTGCCTATGATTACGTTAATTGTGCAGTAAATACGTCGTTAAAGTAAAATTCAATTTGGTCGTTGCAGCAAGTACTTTCAATAACACCAATTTTCCACCCACGGTTTACGGTTTACCACGCGACGAGAATAGCTTAATTTACATCAGGACACCCTACACAGGTGTGTGTTGAAAAGACTCCAAATTAAATTTCTGAAACACTATTTATACTTACTTGATATCCCTCTTTATCAAAATAGCACTAAATTAAAAAGAAAAGAAAAAAGGAATTTAAAAAAAGCGTTAAATCTAATCTACGTTTCAGTGAAAGCATATAAACTGCCATTGTCTATTCAACCGGCCAATAGTACCGTGCCTGATCGGAAGCCATCGGATTTGTCGTGCCTGATACCTTACATAGAAAGCGGACGCGCGCTGCGCAACGAGCACACCATTATGTACAATACACCGCGAAGAAAGAACGCAGCGGAATCAATCGTTAGAAGCAAAGTATCTTTCAGAAATTTGTCTAGTATCAGACAACACCTCTTCGGCAGAGATAGCCTTGCGGTCCACAGCGCGTATATTGACATCACTGAAGAGAGTATAGATTTGACAGGTAAAATATTCTTACGTACAACGGAGGAAGTCCATTCACTACAAAACTATGGCCACATCGATGTGTTGTGTTCTAGCTGCCTTAGAGAAGATCAGCACGTTGTCTGTGTCGGCTGATGCAATGATGTCGCCTTGTCAATTCTCTTCCAAGTTGCAAAATATATCTCCTGGTACCACAAAGAAGGAATTGGCTTCCAACGTGGTGGAAAAATCATGCAGAAGCGTGAAATCAGTAGAAAGTTTAAATAAATCAACAACGACAAGGCAGTCTAACGAGCGTGCTATATCTGGCAGTAGCGACGTGTCTTTGGTCATAGAAACTTGTAAGAAGCTCAATAGTATTCGACTTTCCAATAGCAAAACACAAAAATCAACGTCAAAGTAACGTAAGATATAATGAAAGTATAAGAAGAGATTATATTTATACACAAAGTCCTTGTCAACGCATTGAATTAATATTTTTATTATCAAAAAATATATATTTAAGATGGCAGTTATGTTAAAATTTATAAACATATATGTGAGTTATAATGTCAATTACATATACAGGTCTGTAACTATTAAGATTAATAAAACTTAAATTTGTACTTTCAATGCAGGTTTCATAAAAATGGATTTATACATTACACATACAATTTTCATATTTGTTTGCGATATAATTTTTTCTTTTTTCATCGAATTATTCAACGCTGAAGCAAACATGTTCCTTCGGCTTTCATCGCTCACGAGAGAAGATGAGTGAATTGACATATATTATTCGTTGAACATTTCTTGCGTGCGTATAGAAAAACAATTAATAACAATGTACAAGAAAGAAAAAGAGAAAGCAAAAAGAATATTTTATTAATTTTATCATTGCAATTTTACAATAATAAATTTATTTTATGAAATATATTTGTTTATTAAGTAATTTTGCCCTCAGCTAATTAGTAGTTCTATCATTTTGCTATCATTGACAATTATTGTAACCTGTTTAAAATAAGAAAACAAATTATTTCGAGAATATTCGATAGTCATAGAAAATTGAGCGAGATTTTATTTTCTTTATCTTGATGAGAATTACCAAAAGCAATTCTAAAAGTTCACAAAAAGCGCTGAATTTAGATTTTCAATTTATGAAAACATGAAACTAAACAAAATCTGAACCAGGTGATTTTTGTGAACTGTTAGATTTGCATTCAGTAATGCTTCTCGAAACGAAGAAAATGACACCTCCACGACCACCGGAAGTGTCCGAAAAAATTGTTTAAATTTTTGAAAAACAAAGCTCTATATTTCGAGCACTTCCGATGATCGTAGAAAGTAGGGCAAAGTGGCATTTTCTTTGTCTCGACGAGCACTAACAAATGTAATTCTAAAAGCTCACAAAAATCGCCCGGTTTAGATTTGTCTTTTATGACAACATGAAATTAATAAAAATTTTAACCAGGCGCCTTTTGAAAACTTTTAGAATTGCATTTGGTAGTGCTCGCCGAGACAAAGAAAGTAATATCACCCCCGATTTTCTACGACCACCGGAAATGCTTGCAAAAATTGTTTGAATTTTTGAAAATAAAACTAAGTTTTTCGAGCATTTCCGATGGTCGTAGAAAGTCATACGAGGTGTCATTTTCTTCCTCTCGACGAGCACTGCTGAATGCAATTCTAAAAATTTACAAAACGCGCTTGATATAAAGTTTCATTAATTTTTAGGGCTATAAAAATGAATATCTAAACCAGGCGCTTTTTGTAAACTTTTAGCATTGTATTCAGTAGTGCCGGTCGAGACGAAGAAAATGACACCTCGCTCGGCTTTCTACGCCTACGGGAAGTGCTTGAAAAAATTGTTTGAGTTTTTGAAAATATAGCTCTAAGTTTCGAGCACTTCCGGTGATCGTGGAAAGTCGAGCGAAGTGTCATTTTCTTCGTCTCGGCGAGCACTACCGAACGCAATTCTAAAAGTTCACAAAAAGCGCCTGGTTTGGATTTTCAATTTTATGGCCCCATAAATTTAATGAAAATCTGAGCCAAGCGTTTTCTACAAACTTTTAGAATTGCATTTGGTAGTGCTGGTCGAGACGAAGAAAATAATACCTCGCCCGACTTTCTACGCCCACGGGAAGTGCCTGAAAAAATTGTTTAAATTTCTGAAAATGTAGCTCTACGTTTCGGCCACTTCCGGTAGTCGAAGAAAGTCGTGTAAGATGTCATTTTCTTCGTCTCGACGAGCACTACCGAATGCAATTCTAAAAGTTCACAAAAAGCGCCCGGTTTGGATTTTCATTTTTATGGCCCCATAAATTTAATGAAAATCTGAACCGGGCGCTTTTTGTGAACTTTTAGAATTGCGTTCGGTAGTGCTCGTCGAGACGAAGAAAATGACACCTGGCCCGACTTTCTGCGACCACGGGAAGTGCCTGAAAAGAGTGTTTAAATTTCTGAAAATGTAGCTGCAAGTTTCAAGCACTTCCGGTGGTTGTAGAAAGTCATGTGAGGTGTCATTTTCTTCGTCTCGACGAGCACTACCGAATGCAATTCTAAAAGTTTGCAGGAAACGCTTGGTTCAGATTTTCATTAAATTTATGAGGCCATAAAAATGAAAATCCAAGCCGGGCGCTTTTTGTGAACTTTTAGAATTGTATTTGGTAATGCTCGTCGAGACGAAGAAAATGACACCTCGCCCGACTTTCTACGACTACAGGAGGTACCTGAAAAAATTGTTTAAATTTCTGAAAATGCAGTTGCAAGTTTCAAGCACTTCCGGTGGTCGTAGAAAATCGGGTGAGATGTCATTTTCTTCCTCCCGACAAGCACTACCGAATGCAATTCCGAAAGTTCACAAAAAATGCCTGGTTTTTAGATTTTCATATTTTTATGATCTTATTAAATTAATGAAAATCTAAACCAGACGTTTTTCGTGAACTTTTAGTATTGCATTCGGTGATGCTCGTCGAAACAAAGAAAATAATATCTCGTCCGACTTTCTACGGCTACCGGAAATACCCGAAAAAATTGTTTATATTTTTTAAAGAACAAAATTTTTTATGCACTTCTGGTAAAATCGCCTCGTTTAGATTTTCATTTTTAAAGGCCCATGAAATTATTCAAATTTTAAATATAGTATAATTACCGATGATATATTATAAAGATTGTTGGTCTTACGGGATTTAGCGTACGGTCGCAGACATTGCTGCATTAAGCAAACTCAACAGTTGGACAACATTACTAGATTTTCCACTGAATCTCGCTTCTGATTGGTAAATACTTCTGGGTCTATGAAGAATCTAAAAAAATGCTCGAATCACAGACGATGATCACTAAGCGCTCTTTGATCACTTTGTTCTACTGAACGCAGCCATTGATTTATGCCCGTTTTCTTGCAACTTTCGGAACGCATCCCGACTCGAGAAGAATGAGAGTCACTGCTCCGCTTGCGGAACACGCCTGCGCAGCCATTGGCTGCATTCAGCAGACTCAACAGTTGGACAACATTACTAGATTTTCCACTGAATCTCGCTCCTGATTAGTCAATACTTCTGGGCCTATGAAAAATTTAAAAGAATGCTCCAATCACAGACAATAATCACTAAGCGCTCTCTGATCACTTTGTTCTACTGAACGCCGCCATTGTTCATCTCAATGGTTGCGTTCAGAAAACAAAGCGCTCACTGAGCGCTTAGTAACTATTGGTCCTTACTGTTAGATCCTTACATTCAGACCAATAACGTTGAAGAATTACTCAACCGTTGTGTAACCGTTGTGTTTTCTGAACGCAGCCAATCTCGCTCAGTGCGCCAAGCACGTGAGAAGACAGCGAAGACCGAGTGGTGGGGGTAAGCCTCGATCGTGCGCGTAAGATTTCCAGCATTAAGGCCTCTTGCACAATGCCAGGCAACAGACAATAAGAATAAAAATAGACCAATCACAATAGATTATTCTTGTAATAGTTGATTGTGATTCGTCTATTTTTATTCTTATTGTTTGTTGCCTGGCATTGTGTAAGGGGCCGTACTTGTGCCTGTGTCGCGCGTCTGCTCATTGGTGGTGAGACAAAGTCAAAGCGATTCAATTGTTATCCTTCTCTTACTCATATGCAGGGTGTTTGATAGCTGATCATGCAGACGAAAGTTGGAGATAGATTGGGTGTAGCCGAGAAGAAAAGTCATGTACCATAATGTCAAATTGGCAATAGTTATCGAGTTATTAATTAAAACATGTGAGCCAATGAGCGCGTAGAGAGCGGAGGGCGACCACAGTAAGCACGTAGACATTTGATACAGGCGGAGTCAACGAGTGACGATAGGCGAGCGCGCGCGGCGAGGGGCAACGTAAACGACAAGAGGCGAGCGCGCGCCACGAGGAGCGAGCGAGCGCGAACGACGAGGAGCGAGCGAGCTATAAGGAAAAAGCTATAAAGAAAAAGCTCGCTCGCTCCTCGTCGCGCGCGATCGCCTCTTGTCGCTTACGTTGCCCCTCACCGTGCGCGCTTGCCTATCGTCACTCGCTGACTTCGCCTGTATCAAATGTCTACGTGCTTACTGCGGCCGCCCTCCGCTCTCTACGCGCTCGTTGGCTCACATGTTTTAATTAATAACTGGGTATCTATTGCTAATTTGACATTATGGTACATGACTTTTCTTCTCGGCTACACCCAATCTATCTCCAACTTTCGTCTGCATGATCAGCTATCAAACACCCTGTATACAGGGTTTGATAGCTGATAGGGTATACAGGGTGTCCGGAATGTGATCATTAATATTTTGTGTACTGGTAGAACTCGTTAAAACAATTAAAAAAGTCCTGTGCCATTTTACAATTTTTTCAATATTTATTCCGTAATTAATTAAAATGTGTAAACGAATGAGCGCACGAGAAAGCGACAGGACGGGCTCCGTGTATAAGAAGATGGCTTACCTCGCGCGGCGAAAGGCAACCGTAAGCGACAAGAAGTATGCGCGCGCGACGAGGAGCGAGCGAGCGCGAACGACGAGCGAGCGAGCGCAAGCGACAAGAGGCGGCCGCCCAGCGCTCTCTACGCGCTCATTGGCTCACATGTTTCAATTAATAACTTGATAACTATTGCCAATTTGACATTACGGTACATGACTTTTCTTCTCGGCTACACCCAATCTACCAGTACACAAAATATTAATGATCACATTCCGGACACCCTATATATATATCATTTTCACTATAGTCTGTTTTAATAGCTCGGACATTAACCAGACTCAAATCACAGACACAAACCTCGTTACCGAGACATCGAGTTAGTTGACGTCTATTTTCTTAGGAGGCGTATCAGGACAGACATATGCTTTCGCCCGGTGGCCGCTCTCAGGTTTTTCTCTGGAAGAACTGAACTAGTGCACATTAGTGCAATAAGTTGGAGTGGAAAGGAGTATACTTATTTTTTACTCTGACTTATTTTATTAGTTCAGACGTACTTCGAAAACGAAGAGACATTTAATGTAACTTCAATTTGCAATCAGGAGCGTAATAGGTTACTTAGTTAAAGGGAGTAAGAATCCGTACTTACAGCCGACGATCGCGCAGCTTTCCGTATGCGCAGGAAAGCGCCGTGTTATGGGATCTGCCTCTTCGTCTGGCGTTATCGCAGTCCAACTCGGCGGTCCACCAAGTGGCTTCGAGTCGCGGTCGACCAAACAAAACATGGACGCCGTGGAAATAGATACGTCGGAACCGCCGCCGCAGCAGAGCGAGGATGTGATCGCGACCACGGTGGAGATATGTCGCGTGTGTCTACTCAGCAACCCGGAGATGCGTGATATCTTCCATGAGAGTGAGGATGCGTCCCTCTCGGCAAAGGCGATGAGCTTTGCCAACGTTAAGGTTAGACAATGTAATTTGGAGGTTAGAAAATGATGCGAGCTTTGATTATCCATTGCAGCGTTTTTCTCCTTTGAATCCCGGATGTGTATCAAGTCCACGACTACCTCGAGCATTCTGCGCTTCTCCCTGCTCGTTATAAGTTGTAGATCGTTAAGTGTAACAGTCGTATGTTATACGTTTTATTGCAACATTATATCAAGTTTGTTTTCTTCACCTTGTGAGATAAATGATAAAGATTGATACGCATTACAAAGACCTCTGTGATTGCAATGAAGATCATCTTAAGAGCGTGACTGAAGCATATGTTTTGTTTAGATGTTACCAGGTGATGGTCTACCAGCACAGTTGTGTTATGACTGTGCCAACAAGCTGGAGTCGGCATATGAGTTCAAGTTACAAGTGGAGCAAGCAGACGGTGTTCTGAAAGAGAAGCTTCTTGGTATGAACATAAAAGAGGAATTGTTTTTCAACGAGGTCGAGGTACACTTGGATGCTGAGAGAAATGATGCTATAGGTGAGTTAAGCGACGGTGCCGATTATGTATCTGCCACCACGGTACTACCAGGACAATCAGAGGATGACAAGAACCTCTTGAAACATGGACAGTTGGTGCTCTTGGAAGTTGAGAAGTTATCACAGTCAGAGGAGATACAGCAAAGTGAGTTAAGGCAGTCAAACAAATATTTACTACGAAACCTCCATAAGTAAACAAGTATTTACAAAATTCTTATTCTTATCTATTTCTGCTTGAGCTGTGTAGTATGTAAATTTATACTAGTATGCTGTTATATGTTTTTCTTATTCTTTTAGTTGCTCTATGTGAACTATATATTCAGTTTATTATATCATCGATGAGTAAAATTTTATCTATAAACATTTTAAATGTGTCTGATTTTGAAATACTCGATTACTTATGTACACTGTTGCTAATATCACTTTAATTTTCAATAGAGACTAAATCAAATGTTAGAAAAATAGGCTAGTAAGAGCTGTCGCTATTTTAATATTAAATTATTCCCCTACAATTCCCCTTATTTTAGTAAGCATTATTAAATGGCCATATAAAACAGACTTAAGGTGGGCAAATTGATACAGTATTCAGCTTGACAAATAGAGAAGTCCAGATTTGACTCCTGGCTGTAGGCAGTATTTTTCACATTTACTAGGCCTTTGTATCAAGATCCAGGGAATCTATAGGGAAGTAATTACAAGGTTTTGTTCTTTTTAGCTGGTTAATGCTGCGCTAAAGCTTTGTTCCTTTTCCCTTTAACATTAGCTAACATACTTGTATCGCTCTAAGAACAAAAAGTGCAGTCTAGTTCAGCTAAAAAGAAAAGAGAGACCTAATATTAAAATATTATTTGCAGGATATAGTTTCAGTTCAACATAACAAGTGGCTGCTATAAGTAGCTCACATATGCATTGAATTCTGGAAAATAGGAACGTTAAATGATATTCTCCGCCAGATTTAAGTTGTCGCGTTTAACGTCTCAGCGACGACCTATATCTTACTAGTCGATCTTTCGTGCTGCTTGTTTACCTTCAGAGTGTTCACAATTTTTTGTACAAATTGAATGTTGTTTCATGATAATGTAAGCGTTCCTATTGATTAAAACATTTTCTGACACATCGGAATTGCCCTTTAGATCCGGAACAGGATGATTCACAAGAGATCACGCAGGAGATCACGCAGGAGATCACGCATGAAATCAGTGAGAATATTGCTGAGGAATTACAGAACGAACTATCCGGCACAAAGGACGTTGACACCTCGAGTGCCGTCGTGGCGTCTCAAGACTCAGAATCTTACAAGAACGAGATCGTGATCCAGGATCGCATGGACGCAATTCCGACACACGAGCACGATTACATCATGCAGCAGCAAAAGCCGACACCTGTAACAGAAGTGTCTATGCCCAAAGAGACGAAAGAAAGCACGCAATCATCGATTGAACCCGAGCAGGACGACGCAGCGGAACGCCCGGTAACGCCATTGGACGTGGTTACTCAAACCGAAGAGGAAAATCCAAATCAACAGCAAGAGTTGCCGGAGGAGTTAAAGGATTTCAAGGAAGCGAACGAAACGACTTTGGCGGAGCAACAGGACTCGCAACAGAGCGAGACCAGGAGGAGCAAACGCAAGTTGACTCGTCGAACCTTCACCGAGAGGGACTCTGACGAGGAAAACTATTTCGAGAATCTGAATCTCAGTTCTCGACTGAAGAGAGCACAGGCGGATAAGGCGGAAAAGGTCTTTTTCGTGTGTTATCTATGTGACAAGCAGTTCCTGGCGAAAAACGTGCTGAAGGAACACATGCATTCCCACGAAGAGGTCAGACGCGCCCTGTCCCTGAAGGAGACGCCGGAGAAGCCACCGAAGTCGAGCAGCATGCCGCCGTCCGGCAAGAAAGCTAACAAGTGCCCTTATTGTGGTAAAGAGTATCTGTACATAATCTCGTTTAACAAGCACATGAAACTACACGAACAGCAGAAGGAGGGCTTGCCGCTCGACATGTTTGTCGAGGACGATCTCAGCGCGGAATTCGAACAGTCGGACACGGAATACAGAAGGCGGACGAGGAGAAGCAGCGGCATAGCGATGACGAACATCAGCAACGACGACGACAAGAACGACGAGTCTACGAGCGACAAGGACAAGAGGAGAAAGCGGCCGCGCACTGAAGCGGAATTCGCATGCGACAAGTGCTCGGACGTTTTCGGCACAAAGCGGGGCTTGCACAAGCACATGTCCGCACGGCATGTCCACAAGTGCAACGTGTGCAAGGAGGAATTCGACACCTTGGAGCAGCTGAGAAAGCACCGTAGCAAGCATATAGAAGTTGAGGATTCGTTGGACGAGCAGGACACGGAGAAGCAGACGAAGCAGCGGAGTGGCGTGAAACACCAGGACGAAAACAAAGACGACTACGACTACGAGGATGCAGGCGAGGCGGCCGAGAATGACGACGGCGAGGAGGTCGCGACCACGAAGGAGCTCAAGTGTCCCAAGTGCCCGGCGACGTATATGCGCAGGAAAGCGCTGTCGAAACACATGGAGACGCATTGCGGGACCAACAGTCACAGCTTCAACTGTAAGGTGTGCAGCCAACAGTTCTCGAGGAAGGACCAATTGCGCAGGCATGCTGAGCAGCACGGCCGTGTGAAAGCTTACAAGTGCACTCAGTGCAACAAGACCTTCGGCAATGAATTCACCTTGAGGAACCATCTGATCTCCACGAGTCACAAGACTTTCCTGCATGGCCAAGAATATGATCCCAACAAACGTATTAAGCGTGTGGCCGCTAAAGCGGCACAAAAAATCATCGACAAGATCAAGACGGAAGTCGGCCTGGAGGACTTGGACGACGATGATGACAACAGTGACGATGATCAGCATTTCGCCACGTTAGGCAACTATTATCGCAAGCGCCGCACGCCAAAGAAATACAACGCCAAGAAGCATCTGGAGTGTGGCAAGTGTCACAAGGGATATAGCACTAAGCAGTCGCTGATGAGGCACATGGAGTATCACGTGAAAGAAGAGAAGGAGAAGGAGCAGTTGAAGAAAGTTATTACGGAGAAGAAAGAGAACCAAAGGAACGACGATGGCGGCAACGCTGGCACTGACGCCGGTGCTGATGTTGGTGTTGGTGTTGCTGCTAATGTTGCCGCTGGTACTGGTGGTGCTGGTGCTAGTACCGTTGCCGTCATTGGCATTGACGACGACGATGACGACGATAACTCGGACTTCGAGAGCGGCCTGGATTGGCCTATGGACAATCATGAGTGCAGCACGTGCAAGAAGCGCTACAGCACGAAAAAGTCGCTGCAACGGCATCAGCTGCTGCACGAAGATCCAAACTTCGAGTGCGACATCTGCCACGTCAAGTTCTACCGCAAAGACAAACTGAAGGCACACTACGACAAGTGCTCGGAGAAGAACCCAGACCAGGTGAGGAAGTGCAACATTTGCGGCGATCGGTTCGAGAACAATGAGATCCTGCGCGTGCATCGGGCGACCCACGTGACCGAGGGCATTTTGACCGAGGAGGACCTGATGGATCTGGAGCCTATGCCTCCTGAGGAGAAGAAGGAGAGAGTCGTGCGTAAGAGACGAACCGACATCGTCGGTCTCGAGTGCACCGAATGCAACAAACAATACACCTCGCGGAAAGGGCTGTTGCGACACATCCAGGTGCACGAGGGCAAGAAGTTCCTCTGTGACATCTGCCCGAAAAAATTCTACCGGCGTGAGCATCTCAAACTTCACGTTGCCAAGCACAATATGGTGAAGCCGTATAAATGTCACCGCTGCACCAAGCGCTTCATCAAGGAGGAACAGTTGATAGGCCATTTGTCCAAGCACGACCGCATGTTCCGGAAGAACAAAGACGACACCACCAAGCGATTCCTCTGCGAGATCTGTTCCAAGAGTTTCACGCAGTCCACTACGCTGATAGCGCACCTTCGCGCCCACAACGGCATCAAGCCATATGTGTGCGAGGTATGTTCCCGGCCGTTCACCACCAATGCCTACCTAAAGATGCACATGCGCACGCACACGCAAGAGCGACCTTACATCTGCCAATATTGCTCGCGCGCGTTCGCTCGTGCGGACACGCTCTCCAACCACCTGACCTCACACACTGGCGAGGCCAAGTACCACTGTAAGTTGTGCCCGCGCAAGTTCCGCCGGCTCAAGTCATTGAAGGAGCATACGTTCATCCACACCGGCCAACGGCCGTATGAGTGCCCGACTTGTGACCGCAAGTTCAACAACAACGGCAGTCGCTACGCCCACAGCAAGCGCTGCAAACAGAACCTGCTGCAGAGTCAGCATCGCGCGGCGCAACAACAACAGCAGCAGCAGCAGCAACAACAGCAGCAGCAGCAAGAACAGCAGCAGCAGCAGCAGCAACAAGAACAGGAGCAGCAGCAGCAGCAGCAAGAACAACAACAGCAACAGCAGCTCTTGCAGTCGGCTCAACAGGTCCAAGTGCAGGTGCAACAAGTGCACCCGCAGCTGCAGCAAACCAGGATGACAACACTCAGCCAAGCCCAAGTGGTGAAGGCACAGAACATCAAGACCATCGCTATCGCGAGGCAGCCGGTCGTCGAGCCGACGATGGTTGGTACACATCAAGTGATGCAACATCAAGAGATACTGATGCCGCTAATATTGCCGCTCACCGTTACCCTCGCCGACGTCGGTGAGGAGGTAATACTGCCGGAAGGCACGAAGATCTTCACGACGACGTAATCCTGATTGACGGCGTCTCGCGGACTCGGTGGAACACATGACTTCCTCGAGGAAGAAGAAAAAAGCGAGAAAGGGGACACAATGTGAGGATGAGGAAGAGCGAGCCTCGACGCGAGCAAGCAAAGATCCGGGGCCGACCGACGAGCTGAGGGAACTCCGACGCCGGAAGCCGCAGCCTGCTACCGTTCTTGTTCCCGCGTACCGGAAGGCTGTCGCGCAACCGGCAGTTAACGATGAATCGCGATCGCGATTGCACTCGACTCGTGTTGCCGATCAGCACGCATCATTAACGAGAGAGTTTCTTCGACGAGCAGAGAGAGAGAGAGAGAGAGAGAGAGAGAGAGAGAGAGAGAGAGAGAGAGAGAGAGAGAGAGAGAGAGAGAGAGAGGGAGAGGGAGAGGTGCGATTCGTCTCGGTGTGCACGCTCCGCTAAATATTACTGTTAAATAATACCTACGATAGTGTACGAATTTCGAAAAATATCATTTCGATTATGTATGAAACGTTCATATCGAAGTTTATTTTTGCAACGGTGAAGGCGTATATATATATATATATATAGGGAATATATATATATATATACACATAATTTATCTAGAAGTTCTGGTAGGGGGGAGGGGGAAGCGGTATGCCCTGCTGCGTTGACGATACTCGTCGGTGGCTCGTTTAGCTCAGAAAAGAGTTAAACAAAGTGATTACGGCGGCGAGAGTCGACGAAGAGGACACGTTTGCCATTTGCGATTCCCTCGATCTTCCTTGATAATTTGAGCGGACGGTCCATCAACAAATGTCGTTGACAGAGCAAGAGATACTTGTACAGAATCACATCTTTCCATAATATGCATTATCTGGAGTGCATACGAAAGAACGTCTTTGATAAATCGTTTTATGGAAGTTGAATAGGAGGAGGAAGAGATACAGATAAGGAGATACAGGGATAGAGAAGCAAGATGATTTGTCATAAATGTATATGTAATATAGATAGATTTCTCCTTTAAGATATGATAATAAGACTAAGAGAATAGCGTAAATACTTAAAGCTTAATATAAGTAATACTAGATCGATTTCCAACTATTTTGTTCTTCCATTCTTTTTTCCTCTCTTCTTTCACACAACATCTGTACGCGAAGTATATTCGCGAATCTACTAAGAGCCATTAAAATGTTAATATCATCGCCTCTTTTTCGTCCTTTTTTCTAACAAATCTAGATCATAACGTTACCTGTAATATGGAGTAACAATGTCAGTGGTTAAAGAGTCAGAATCTGACATAATGTAGAATTGTGACAATTGCGTTTTTTCCAGAAAGAAAATGAGTGCACTTGCTATTTTCTTTTTTTCACCTTGCATAAAGAGTGTGCTAAACGGTATTGTAACGTCTGTCTCCTGGATATAATTTGTATCCAGATATTATTTTTATATCCTTATGCTTATACTTGCATATTTGAAGGATTGCTATACTACTTTTGAAGAATTACTATACTGACTTGAACAACCTCTTTCTGCAGGAAAAAACAATATATAACATGCAAAAAGTTTGCATTATAATCCAAAGTTTCACGAAAATTTTTAATATACTATAAATTTATAATTTATAAAATGAGCTAATCTCCTCGATTGCTCATAATTGCAATGACTTGCGTTCGTTAAGTGTAACAGCTTTTAAAATTGTTATGACCTATCACAGTGAAATTTGTAGATATATGATGGAAACGTTGTTACATGTGCGCGAATTTTGATTTCGTATTTAGATTCTGTTGCATAAATAAAGTATCTATTCTAATATTATATATCGGTGGTTCATGGTATTTTTTGAGTCTATTAAACTTTAAGCTTATTCGTGTTGCTTAAACTTTTCGTATTTAGAACAAGGGAGATGCATACTCGAACTCTGAAAGAAACAAGAGCGAAGGAATCGAACGCGAAAAGTTCAAGAAACATGAAACAATAAACCTTTTATTGTATCAACTTTTATTGTACATACACATTGGTTCCATTTACGAAAGAAGGGAACTATTTATAATTTTACAATGCATTATAATCCAAAGATAATTCAATAAATTATAGAACTTCGTGATCAGAATTTTTCTTTTTATATTGGATATATGCTTCAATGACGGCAATAATAGTGATGATACTTGAAGATTTCAATCGTCTTCTTTATGCGTACATAGTTAAACGTAAGAACGTAAATATTTTGAAAATGTATGCGAAGTGATTGTAGTAATGGTCGACGTATTTGAAGGATTTCGTAATACAATGATTTAATCGAAAACGTGAATGTCTTTGATTACTGTGCTGTGTGCTATTTCTCACACTTATGAGCTTGTAAAGCTACTACTGGATTTTACCGGGATATAAGTTTTTTATCTGATGATATATAAAAGCGATATATATACATACCAAAGTGTTGTGTGCACACACATACACATATACATGACTCAACATACATATACAAGATGTTTTAGAAAGGTGGTCAAACTTTAAAAATATATTCTACTTACTATAAAGATGAAAAATGATTATATAAACATACCCAGGGTCTGTGAACACTTCCCTTCCGAGTTATAAATGCTTTATGTATTTACAACAGGCGAAATTTTGCATCGATGTATCATGCATTATCCTTTATTCATCTTCTTTTAAAAATAAATAAGTTGGCAAATGGATGTTTAAGATTGGAGTCAGTCTTTATTTTAGCATATAACAGTTAAGATATTGTCTAAATGGCAGCTTATGTTCTTACCAAAGTCTGTTGCAAATAAAGTGTTTATAACTTAGAAAAGAAGCGTTTCTGAACCCATGTTTATATGAGCTTTTTTCATCCTTATAATGAGTAGAATATGCTTTTAATGTTTGGCCACCTATTTCTGAAACATCTTGTATATATATACAGAGTTGCATGTGTTGGTAGTTTTCTTGTAAGTGAAAAATTTGTAATCGTTATAGAACCATAATTTCCGATCTCTTTGTACATAGACACAAATATATGAATAAAAATGATTACACTCATTTGAGTATTCGTTGCATAACGTACTTCTGCGTTTCTTTTTTCGTATAAATTTAACTATCTATCTGTAAACGTTATTTTTGATCGCGTTTATTAAATTCATGAGAGCGATACACATTAGCGGCACAAAAGTCTCAATAGGATCAGTCAAAGTGCGTCGCACGAAAAGTAATCCCAATCGTTCAAGACGTCAGTCACATTTTTGCTTCTAGGTAGGAGCAAGAGTACTTCTAGGTAGGTAGGGTGCTTCTAGCTAGGTAGGGTGACATTTTTTTCAGCTATCTATCACCCACAATATATTAATGCCGGATGATCCGGCGTTGACTCGGCCCAACATACCGTGATCTCGCGTCTTGACTATGTACAAGAAGAGTAAGAGTGTGTGGAACAAATTATTACGTCCCTGGAAGTAGAAACATGGTTGAAAAGAGTGATGCGTATGAACATGCATAAAATTATACTACAAAGTTAATAATAAAATTTCGATACGTGTAGAATCTTGATTACCCGCTGTACTTCTTCGTAATCGCTTGGAAGTGAATCGCCGGATAATGCCAGATTGTAATGCGGCGGATTCACAGATTGGCAGACTATTATCGGGCCCTTATTTCGCGGCAGCTCCATTCCGGATCTCGCCATGTATCTCGAAGTGAACGGTCTAGCGTCTGGTTGATCCAACGGTGCCTCTAATTGAGTATCCATGTACGTCGAGATTAAATGCATTATTATCTGCAGATATACACAGAGTTAGTTGGACACGAGTCGGAAGCGCGCCTTATTGTCTAAAAAAACTCGCAGAAACAGACGAGTTTTACTTCCTGGCTATTAATAAATGTTTTATCAGTCCCGATTCACGATAGATGTGATAAGACTTTTTGCTGTAAGATTTCTATTCACCGCAGAATCAGTCGGCAAACTGGAGTCCCATTCCTTGCCGTTGTGAGAACCTCCACTGTTCCATTTGAATTCACTCATGCATCCTCCCTTTGCGAGTATTTTTATTCTTTTCACGAGATATTCCTGATTGTTAGAGAGTTCCAAGAAAGGGACTAACGTTGGCAGAGTAGGAATTGCGGAGACCAGGAACGGTGCTTGCGCGAGCTTCCTAAGTCTGTCCAATCCCACGTGTCCTGGCTGCGAGTCGCTCAAACCATGACGTATCAGCGCCGCGCATATGTTATCTATCTCCAAAGACACGCGCTCCACAACTGTCCTGCTAATCCACTGAAACATTAGAATGTACAATTAATCCTCTTGCTTTTTGCATACTTACAAATATACATCTATGTATAAATGTATTTAAGAATATGTTTTATACAAATTATATTTATTTATATAAATTATATTTATACATACTTTATATATTTTATCAACTTTTTTCTTTATAATTATTGTTATATCTTGCAATGCGAAATCCATTTTTGTCTCTGTTTTATATTGTCTTACCATGCGAAGGAAGGCAGTCCATTCGTTGACTTTCTTCGGATCGACCCTGTATTTCCTCCATACATTTAATGCACCAAACGTGCCCCTAGGAGAACTCCCCTCTTCAGCACCAGGACTGGTAGCCTTCGTTTTATCTAAATAATCATATGTACATAATGATTAACAAGTATACAAAAATATATAAGTATACGAGAATACAAAATATACTTTCCATTATATTAATAAAACTGAGTCTTACCCACAGTAGGTGCGAGTTGATAAGCACATCTTCGCAACAATGGTGATACTTCCCCAGGTCTTCGAACAGCAGGATGAGACCAAAAAGAACTCAGTAGATTTGAAGGTTGATCAACGTTTGTGGACAGCATACATTTTCTCTGTTGTTCAACTTCTTCGAGATAATTCTCCAATTCGCATTCATCCCGTATGAGATCTTCATTTGTAAGGCTGCCATTTAAAGAAATGCTCATAGATTTACTGAGTGATCCATTAGAGCTTACAGTTGACTTAGGAGATACAGGACTGCTATATTTAAAAACTGTTGATGTCGAATAATCCTCTTGATAACAAAAAGAATAAATATAAAATGTTTATATTTGTTATATAATATATAAAAAATATAATTATAATTATAAACAATTATAACAAATATAATTATAAACACTAAACTTTTCATATATAACTTTACATGTAATATATCTCTTTTCATGTATAATCAAATTTAAAATATAACAAGATCAAATTAAATATTTTACATACTAATTTCACTCAAAACTGAAGATGCGAGCGGTATTGAACGTCTATTGAAATTTATATAGGATAAATTCAATGAAGGACTCAGTTCTGGAGATTTCTGCTGCTGAAGTTCCTCATTCTTGAACAAGGGTTCATCCTCTGAGACTCCTAAGAGTCGTCTCTGTTTGGGTTTCAGTGTAATTGGCTGTAATCTTATGGTAACCCATGCGTATCTTATAATATGATAGAAAGCATTTATCGCAAATATAGATGCTAGGCACCATTCTAGCCAACAAATTGGCTTATATATAGGCCCATCATACATTCTGAAAAAATACTAGGCTGATGAGTATATTCAATTAAATTGTCTTTAATACTTTGAAAGAAACTTTGTATCTTACATGTCATACAGCACAATACTGAGCAACAACACATTAATAAAGAACCATGTGATACTATTTCGAGCTTTATTTTGTGTTAGCCTTAAGTCCAAGAGCTGTTGTACTTGAGGCTTGGGTGTTAAAACTCTGCAAACAAAAAAGAAGGTATATTTATGAAATTTTTATTAACTTATAAGTTAATACAAATTTTAAAAACACATAGTTCGTATTATATTTTCAAAGATTTTACCTTGCATTGGGAGATATACATTTCATTGGGGAATAAAAAGTACTCATTTTGAAAAATCTATACGTTTTCTACATTGATATTAGATAATTTATTTTCTTAAATATAAGACAAGACCACTCATCACTTTCCCGCGGCTCGTGAAATATAATTATCGGCAGAAAGAAGTAAAAAGATTGACCACGCCAATATTTTATCGTGCCGCATTGCACGATTGAGGTGTCATCTACGCCAATTTTCAAAGGTAGAACTATTTAGCTAAGCGCATTCCTTACCGGTAATCCATTTTTATTTGGTGCGTATCCATGCTGAAGTTATGATACATATTTTTTTATAATAAATGCGCGAACAGATGAATAAAATTAGAATATAATAAAATTAAATGATATATTTCTTCTTGTAATATTATATTGGGAGTACAAATTAGTTCGGTCCGTTTTTTTGTGTTAAAAAATATATTTATTTCAAAACAAAATGAATGAACAGATCAATTAAAGTATTTTCCATCGCTGGCTACTACTTTCTCCCATTCCTCAGGCAATTTTCGAATTCCATCTCGAAAAAATGATTCGTCTTTTGAGGCGATCCAAGTTTGGAGCCAATTTTCGATTTCTGCGAAAGAAGTGAACCGATGACCTGTCAAATCGTGCTGCATCTTTCGGAACAACCAGTAATCAGAAGGAGCAATGTCCGGAGAATACGGCGGGTGCGGTAAAACATCTCATCTGAGTGTTTCCAAATATTTTTTTACAACTTTTGCGACATGAGGCCGAGCGTTGTCATGAAGAAGAATAACTTTATCATGTCTTTGCTCGTATTCCGGCTGTTTTTCTCGCAATGCATGGCTCAAACGAATCAATTATAGCCGATACCGATCGCCCGTAATGGGATCTCCAGATTTCAGCAGCTCATAGTAAACAACACCCTTTTAGTCCCACCAGATACAGAGCATGATCTTCGAATCATGTATGTTCGGCTTTGGTGTTGATGTTGAGGTCGATGGCAACAATTGACCGGGCTTGACGTAGTATTTTTTCTTCTTACGGTTGTCGTAGAATATCCACTTCTCATCGCCTTTCAACGTCTCTCGGTTTCAGTTCATAAGGCACCCAATTTCCTTTTTTTTTAGATAAATCCCATGTCTCTCAATCGTACGGAAACGGCTTGTTGAGTCATTCCCAATGATTCTGCAAGCTCCTTTTGCGTTTGACTCTGATCTTCTTCGAGTAATGCCTCTAATTCTTTGTCCTCGAATTTTTTTGGCTGTCCAGAGCGAGGCTTGTCTTCGACGCTGAAATCTCCATCCTTGAAACGTCGAAACCATTCCCTAGATGATTTATCAGTTGGAGCAGCGTCACCATAAACTTCAACAAGCATTCGATGGGCTTCAGCTGCACTTTTCTTCCAATTAAAGCAGAAAATTAAAACCTCCCGCAAATGCTGTTTGGTTAACACAAAATTCGACATTTTCAACACTGTAAAAAAAAAAGGTTTTTGTATGAAACTCAAAGCGATATAAACTGAATATTATTGGCAGATGTCTAACCTCTCTGAAACCGCCAAAATCGGCAGTCACTATGAACCATTCATAACAGCCGGAGCCATCTTTTGAAAACGGACTGAACTAATTTATACACCCAATATTAAAATTGTGAATATTTCGCGTTGATGAAAAACTGGTACGAAATGCTTGGGTTGTTTCTTAAATCCTAACGGCCAACACAGACTAGACGTAATAATACGTAAATATTGTAAGATTTCAAAGAGATATCGTCTATATCTTTATTCTTATTTTCTCTTTCAATCTTTCTTCTTCTGGATCCTCCTCCTTAGATAGAAAAGGGGATGTTCAGGATGTAAAGGTTTCGAGCGATTAATGTGAAACTCTTCTTATAGTGAACAAGAATATAAGTATATATATTTTAAAAACACAAATACAATAGTACCCGACACCGCGTTTTATACTAAATATATCTCTCTACGAAGCTTAACTATCTACGACTTATTCTTTCGATCCGACTTTATCTTTTTATCCGTCTCAACGTTCCATGGCCAAAAAGCCCTGCCCCCGCTCGTTCGTCTCGTTTTATCTTCTTTTTCCATCCGCCGAATCTGATCTCTTAGGACCGGCCTTTCTCCCGTGGCTCCCCCGGAATAGACTGGTGCTGTCCTCCCTCGTCTGTATCTTACAATATAGATTAGCCTTTCTAAAGTTTTAGAAAATCATATGCTAACTATATATGATTTTAATTAAATTTTACCACAAAAAATTATATATACATAGTACATTGATAAAACAAAGACGCTAAAGAGCATTTAACGAGCGCTAACATGAAGCGTAGAGAAAGCAAATTATATGTTATGCACAAATATTGTATCATTTTATTTATATATTCACATTATAATTATAAGCATATATAAACATACAAGAATATGTAATTTCTATTTATATAATCCATTGTTTCATTGATAGAAAATAGTATTACACTTTAAGATCCGTCAGTTTTACAAGAAGCTTATTTTTAGTGACATTATCACCTACTGAACATAATATTTCTTCCACAGTTCCGTCTGCAGATGCCTTTAAAATATGCTCCATTTTCATAGCAACAATGACCAACAATGAGTCACCTTTCTTTACTACATCTCCTTTGCTGACAAAGATTTTATCGACTAACCCAGGCATTGGGCTCAATGTTGTGCTTGAATCTTGTTCTGCTTGACTGAAAAATGCAGTTACGAACTTCGGAGTCGGTATAATCAGCTGCCATTCGCGATCCTATGAGCAAAGATGTTTTACTTCAATCAAACTTACGTCCAAACTGAACTTGAAACCATATATAAAATAATTAAAATCGTTTTCTATATAACTACAGAAAATTTGATAATCTTGCAAACATAATTCGTTCTTTAACAAAAATATATCTTGCACATTGCTTACAAAAGTCAGATTTTTATTAATACAATCGTTTCATTTATAATATTATTTACCTTGGTAAATATGTGTAACTTATTATCAAATTTGACTGTCCGTGCTGTAGTGATAATCCCATCGATTTCCGCGGACAACTCTAAAATATTATCTTTCTTCTTTAAAGTTCCACTCACTCTTCTCCAAGTACCAAGTTTATTAACCCGCATTAGATATATGTCGGGTTCAATATATTTCACCTCCACTATGTTATTTTTCTCCCCAATGTCGAAGCAAAACGTGTGTTTCAATGCATGATTTAATCTAAGCCCAGTTTCTACGGCGAAAGGACTGAAGGGATCCTTTGTTTCTACTGATGTACTTAGAGAATTCATTTCTTCGTAAAGTATCGAGGTGAGGGCACCCTGTATCAAAATTTCATTGGATATCTGTAATTTGGGAAACAGTTGCTCGAAATGTTCTTTGATGAAACCTGTGTGTACTTCGCCACTTTGAAATTTGGGATGAATGCAAAGGTCCTTGATAAACTCAATATTTGTATCTAGGCCAGCTATCTGTGAAAGCAAAAATTAAGACCAAAATTTACTTAAGAATAAATATAAATATTAAAAATCGATATTTAATATTAATTTTATCAATTTATATTTAAATCTATACTTTAATATCAGTGCATACTTTCTATAAAAATATTAACATACTCTCAAATATTTATTTATAAATTTTATTGCAATTTTGTAAGGCTTCCTTGTATCACTCACATTGTATTCACTGAGCTTTGATCTAAGTATACTAAGAGCTTCATTCCTGTTGTTTCCCCAAACAACTAGTTTTGCTATCATTGGGTCATAATGCACGGATACTTCGTCGTTTTGTCGCACACCAGTTTCAACTCTGACATTATTTGTAGCTTGAGGTGGTGTCAAATAGACAAGTTGACCAGCTCCTGGTAAGAAACCATTCCTTGGATTCTATGATATTACCACGTTTAGTAGCGTTTAATATGTGTTTAGTAAAAAATTATATATATATATATATATATTATTACTTCAGTACTAAGCATGGATAATATAGTAGATGGTATATTGATAATATAACAAAATATTTCGATTATACACCTACATATACATATATATATGTATATGTATGTGTATATATATATATATATATGTATGTATGTATATACATATATATATATAATATAAATATATAATGGATAATAGAGTAAACCATTACCTCTGCATAAATTCTTGCCTCGAATGCATGACCATTGAGGTGGATCTCTTCTTGTTTCAGTGGTAATTCTTCGCCGTTTGCCACTCTCAACTGCCATTCAACTAGATCTAAACCAGTAATCGCCTCAGTAACAGGATGTTCTACCTGCAGACGTGTATTCATTTCCATAAAGTGGAAGCTGTGATCGTTCCGATCCATTATAAATTCCACTGTTCCTGCACCTACATACCCTACAGCTTTAGCAGCACATACAGCTGCTTCACCCAGCTTTTGTCTAAGTTCCTGGGAAATCCCAGGCTGAAAAATATATACAAAGCGAAACATATAATAGCAATTCTCTATCCTTCTATAAATCTCCAGGATAATAATAAAGAAATATGTACAGCAGGTGCTTCTTCAATCACTTTTTGATGTCGTCTTTGAACAGAGCAGTCCCTTTCAAATAAGTAAACTGTATTTCCATACTTGTCTGCAAAGATCTGAACTTCAACATGTCTAGGTTCAGCAACATATTTTTCAAGAAGAACTGCTGAATCCCCAAATGCTTTCTGTGACTCTGTTCTCGCAGACTCCAATGCCTCAGTGAAATCAGATTCCTTCAGAGCAATTCTCATACCTTTACCACCACCACCACGTACAGCTTTGATCATCAATGGAAAGCCAATTTTTCTAGCTTCTGCCAACAGTGTTTCATTGCTTTGATCATCCCCATGATAACCTAATAATTAGATTTTTACGGTATTAAAAGAAGAGTTGAAGACATTATGAAAGTAATAAAAGTCCTTTATCCTTATATTATTTGATTTTAATTAAAGAACTTTATAATCATTTACATGTACCTTCTATAATAGGAACTCCAGCTTTCATCATGATAGCCTTTGATGTATTTTTGATACCCATATCCCTGATGGCACTTGCTGGTGGACCAATAAATATGACATTTTCCTTCTGACATAATTCTGCAAACTCTGTATTTTCAGAAAGAAATCCATATCCTGGATGTATAGCTTGGCATTTTGCTTGTTTGGCAACAGATATGATCTTGTCTTGCCTTAAGTAGCTCTGACTGGATGACGCAAGGCCAATACAATAAGCTTCATCAGCTTGCTCCACATGCATAGAATTTCTGTCTGCTTCGCTATAAACAGCCACTGTTCTTACACCGAGTCTCTTGGCTGTTTTCATTATACGGCATGCTATCTCTCCTCTGTTTGCTATCAGAATCTATAATGCAACTTGCATTAGAATAAGTCTATAATATTAAGCAATCTTAAGGATTTAACTAAAAAATGCTAACTTTAGTAATCCTATGAATTGGCGACGCCGATTGGGGGAGATGTGAGTTTCGAGCACATGAGGTTACATGACTCCTGCAATATGTTAAAAGTGATTAATATGTTGAACAAAGAAAGATCGACTAGATAAACATTGTATATCGCTCACCAGTAGGATAATGACTTTAGCCTCCTAAAATGAAACATGATGCAGGGTTTATGATTCAACGAGCAATAACCGACGAATTTAGTGAACGTTTACGTTCAACGTAAACGTTGAATTATATTTTTATTCATTATTGTTCTGCATGCGCGCGCGCAACAAGTAACGACAAGCCACGTGTTGTATCTGCTACGTAACAGGATCGTTCATCATTTGTCCCTGACCTGGTGTTAATCTACATATGATATAGATAATAAAAGTTCAATTCAATCCATTGGAAAACATTTTTACAGTAAAAATATTTCTTTTATGACAGCACGCAGTATTTAAAACAATTTATTTAATAGAGCAGAAAGGCATTCACAGTAAAAGCTTTACAAAATAAAAAGTGTGCAATATTTAAAATTGTGGAGGAAATAAAGGTCATTCTACAATACGTGTCGTAAGTTGTAAGCCGTAAGAACTGACCAATTATAGCCGATTATTTTGATAATAATCGACTGTGATTCGCCAATTCTTAGGGCTTACAATTTACGACACGTATTGTAGAATGACTTTAAGTATTATCTATTAGAGAAACACTCTGGATAAAACAGAATGACATGATAATACAGGAATCTGTATATAAAATTTACTCACAGCCGCTATTTTTAATGGATTCTGTTTCTTACAAGTGTACTTTTTAGTACAATCTGTAATTACGGTTCCACATTAGTCAAACAGCGATATATTACCCTATTGACATTCTTAAAAAAGTTTAAAATAAATCGTCGATTGTTATCGATAATGCAAACTATCGATAACTATCGATGGAGCTCCATCGAACTTCCCATTTCACAGATGATTCATTATACTGAACGCATCACGAAAGATGTCGAGCGGGCTTATGCATAGCGATAATTTCAGTTATTGTAAGTATCTCATGTAAATGTGTTATTTGTACTTGAACATGTTAGAAATAAGTAAAATTAATTAATAATACATCGGAGATTATATCGAACCCATTCAATTAAGTCCGTGACTTATGGACGAGCGTCCCGTGTTGGCCAATTGAGCGAAATGGATCGACCACCTCTATATTCTTTTCAGAAACGTTTTCCCTTGAAATTAATTATTTCTGATAATCACTCTAATTATGATTATGACATGGAAGAAACAAATTCGTAATCGATGGTCAGGAAGTAAATGATAATTTTTTATACTGATAGATTCTCGAGCATTCGTAGAAATTACATATATATACGTAACCAGATTATTGAATTGGCTAGGCATGAAGTTGCAGTAATTAAAGCACCGAAGCGGTCAACAAGGTTCGTCGAACGTTCTCGATCTGCTATGAGCTGCGTTAACTCGGCCGCCATTAATGTCGATTTGACTCCTTTGATCAACGTCCCGTTTCCGATAATCGTGTGACAAATCGTCGACAGTCAGAATCACCCCGTTAATTCGGAATTGCTGACACCACTCCCGCAAACGAGACGAAAGGAGATCTCCAACGCTGTTACGTAGTTCGGAGACTTCGTTTCGAATGAAGAAGTAATCCCAGCAGACACAGAATATAACTGTTATATAACATAGGAGTAACTGTTATATAACAGTTAGATAGAGAAAGAAATAGCAAAGCGGAACAGTAACAAATAAAAGAAATGGTGAAAAACTAATCAATCAGAAATTCCGTTCCGCCTTCTTGTAGATGTTTTATTTTGTAGTTCAGTTTTTACGTATTTTTAATGCCTTCATCGCGCTTAAGCAGACCATATTGCCTATTTATATTGACGTTTATAATGCACGTTTATATGCATACTGATATGTATATTCTCACAAAAAAGTACATCGAATCCACGTGGAATGCATTCGTTGCATTCACGTGGAATCCACAAAACCACATGGATTTCATGTGGACACAACGTTCCTATTTTCGTGGAGATATCCGCACTTATGCTATTTAAACATTTAAGAACGCTTGTATATTATACAAAACTCACATAGAGAAACATTTTTTTAGGTTTAATATTCTTACTTCGATTTTGAGTTTTTTCATTAAAATATATTTTTACAATACTAGTTTTAGAAAAAAAAACTCTATTTCATTGAAGAAAATCATGTTGATAAAAAACAGGATTTAAGATAATATTTTTCAAAAGTTTTTTTTAGATTTAGTAATTAAAATTTTTTATTTAAACTTCCTTGAATTTATTTCAAACTATTTCTTTTGTGGGTTAACCATTATAATACTCCATTATTAGTTTTGAAACATAGTTTATACTGATATTCGTCGCATATCGAATGTTGTTGCGTTGTTTAAATTTTTGACATGAAAGGTTATAATATTCTGTGAACAATAGAAGGATATATATAAGCATAAGTCACAAGAACATCGTTGGAGTCATTGGGAACCGCGTGCCATTCGATTGTCAGATTAATAAGCAAAACCTAGCGTGGTTAGCACACGGAGAGGGTAACCGCTTGGAATCGAAGATATCGACGGACGCAAGACGCGAGAAAATTAGCAGTAAATTTTTTACATAACAATAATATTACAGTTATATAATAGCTATATAACATTTTAGTAACATGTGATATTTCTTATATATTCTGTTATATAACTACAACTTTCTATGAGTGGGAAATTACAACTTGGCAAACACAATATTACATGTAAACAGTTACTCAACAATATAATTGTTATATAACAGTTATATTGTTGAGTAGGAAATTACAACTAACATGCACGTTACATGTAATATTGTGTTTGCTGGGAACTAACATGTATATTGCTTGTAACGTTATATTACGTGTTACATTTCGTTACATTACGATAATGTAACTGTTACGTAACTGTGTTTATTAGGAAGAGTTTTCAGAATTGTTTAGGTTTAAATATCCAAATGTCCACCAATGTGGAAGAATATCTAGGATTTTGATAACACAGTTATCGTAGTTGATCTTCAAGATTTTCAGCATATTCAAAACTAGTAACATTTACTTTATCAATGTCACATGTAGAGAAAACGTTTGATCCAACGATACGTGGGAATTGCATTGTACAAATTTCGTAAGATTCAAAATTTTGTCATTCAAATATGTGTATACATTTCATATAATGGATCAAATGTACATTTCACAAAACTAAAAATTTCATCATTAACCCTTTAATTGCTGAGATATTAAATGACCAGTATGATCCTCTTTGCTGAGTTATTTTTACAATTATAAAATATTTTATAATGATATAAGATCATGCAAAAATGTACACATATACCGGCTCTCTTTTCTTTTTCTTTGTGCCAATATAGTATTTGAACATACATGACAATGCCTAGTGGCATTGTAGCAAGGCCGCCATTTTTTTCCACACTCGAGTTATCTCAACCGTAGCAGTTAAAAGGTTAAAATGGAAATTCAATCAAAATTTCATCATTGAAATGGGAATCGCATAAATTTCGTAAGAAATTATTTCTAATTTAAATTTTTTAAGATTTTGATATTTATAATTGATTATATAATATTTAACGCGTTTCCAAATTTTTGCAGTACAGTTCGAGGTGACCGATGTGTCTTGAGCCCATCACTACCCGGATTTGCGTGTACAAACACACATACGGAGGGTGCAGTGGGAGAGATTTCGCACAGCGGGTGCCAGATTGATTCGGTTCACCTAAACCACCATTCGCTTCCCCCTTCCTACCCTTCCCAGAATCAGAGGAAGAGAGAGAGAGAGGAGGGGGAGAGTGGTGCCGGTGGCGAGATACCGCCCTGGATTTTCCGCCAGCAAGTCGCGGCGAGGAAGGGTGTTTACTCAAGACACGACAATTCATTACGTAATTGAATTGAATGAGGCCTCTCCTTCGCTCCTCGTTCCCCGCTTCTACGACTTGAGCGTTTGGCGAATGTGTACGCGTGCGAATGCTTGGGCACGCGTATGCGGGGTGTGTTGTACGTAAGCGAAGGGTGGACTATGATCCAGAGACGGATTAAGGACCCGGAAGCGCCCTGGAAGCTGATAACTCGGTAAGTCGATAAAGCGGTTGTATCGCTTAAAAAGGTAATAGAGAAAATGGTTCTCGTTAATCAACGTAATTGTATAAATAATGACGACAGGAATATGTTTCTTGTGAGCGTCGCACGAAAATGCGATGAGCACTACGAAGGCGTCTCTCTCAACTGCGCAATTATGTGCTGTTTAATTATTCAAGCAATAACGCAAAAATAAATATTAAATTATATTTACATTACAATATTTCTACATATCGAGAGTAATTGTGGGAAAAGTTACCCATTATTCGTAGAAGATAAGATCTTATAATTACTTTTAAAAAAGTTACAGATGTATAAATTTAAGATGAAGTAAAGATTCCAGATAAATGTCTCCGTTATAGTGAAATCATATAATTATATATATATATATATATAAATTAATATTATCAAACAACGTAAGTTACATAGAAATCTCTTCCGCAAATGTTGCAGATGTACCACATCGTGACGCATGTTCGACTTGCGTATTTCTTGTTAGGAAAATTCACGCGCATTGGAGTCCACACGGCCCTGAAAGGACACCGTAAACCCGTCGTGCACCCCATTCGCCGCCAACGGCGCGTCTCTCTTCTCCGGGACCGGAGAGATCCGGTGGGGCTCCCGGTAGGTAGCGACCGAATTAAACGATTAGTTAAACTGATTTCGAGTTAGGCGAATGAATAAGTAATCGGATTTCTCGTTAAGGTAATCGCATTGCGCCCTGATTGGCTCCGTCTGCCTGCGTATAGGCCGCACCCCCTCTCGTATTTCGTCCCTCTCTCCTCTCCGCCGCTCTCTCGTCAATGCGACGCGCTCTACTCCCCCCTTCCCCTCTTACGCTCTCTCACTCTCCTTCTCTTTTCCGTCCTTCTCTTTCTCTTTCTGCGGCCAGAGTGGCACGAAAAGAGGGTGTCCTGTCGTCCTGATCATTCGCACGGGATGCCCTCGCTCGTTTTCCTTGTTGTCGGCTTTTATCTCCTAGAAATTAAATATTTCTTTATGCTACATACAAAGCGCCTGTTTTTCCGCGCTCGCGTTAAGTTATGCGTTATCGCTTAATTTTCCGCTTGGTACCTTAGTAGTATCGCACAGTGTGTGACCCGGAAATCGCAAAGATAATTTTAATAACGGGTTTTTCGATATAGACTCGGAGGTTCATATAAGATCCTTAATGGAGAATTATACTTTCATTTTGCTAATATATCGTTAAATATGTACACTTTATAAGATAT